TAATGGACTTACTGACTGGTCGCCTGTTTCTCCCTCATGGTGTTGCTTCAGGTGTGGTGGGGCTGCAGAGTTGAGGCCGGCCTGCGTCCACCACGCTGCTCAAGGGCACAGTTGGCAGCTGTCGGGCCTGTCTGTTGACTCCGATGAGACATGTGGAGAAGAGGACCTTCCTATTCCCAAAATAAACAAACAGTGGTGGCACACATCTTCCCAGACAACTGCAAAGGAAGAGGGAGAAGGTGAAGATTGTGCTTTTGCTTCTCTGTCTCTTTTTTTACTTTGGCATGGCCACGAATCGAAAACCTCAGAATCCATAAAAGTTAAGAGGCAGCAAGTGTCTGCACAAATCAGAAGTTTTACTTTTCCAAGAAAAAAATCTTGGTATGATGTCACTTAACAAATTGACATTCCAGGGATAAAGCTGGGTTGTTTCTGAAACATTAACTTGCACCCTGTTAGGTTTTTATATGAATAATTATTCTAAGCTAACTATACACGCATTTTTTTCCAGTGTTTTATGAATGTGGGAATATATGTTGGAATTTTCCTGAGATGGACACCAGGGAACCATGATTTTCACCTTTGCTCAGCCATTGTGTTCATGTCCATTGTGTTTTTATGCACATGTCCTTTTATGATGACCCCCAAAATACAAAGAGAACAGGGCTGAACAGGAAACCAGCATTTATATGCCAACAAGGAAATGTGTTTGGACTGATTTGTGCCCTTTTTTCCTCTTTTTTGTTCTTTGAGAAAAGGAGCAATTCTTGTTATTTTAATACTTAAAATAAGTGAATACACCTTAAAGCTGTACACTAAGACAGCAGTGAAATAATTCTACCTGTCATAAAAAAGTAATGTATAATCCTATATTTGTTAACAGTGATATTTGTATTATTGGGCCATTTGTATCTAGTGAAATTGACAGAGGGATTAGCGCACTGTGGCCGCCTTTACGCATGACTGGAGGCCTATTGAAGGACGACGTAGACCTGCAAACACCTGCAACACAATGTGAGCAAACTCTCGTCTGTATTTACAACCTACGCTGCTTCAAACACGAACACACACACACACACACGCACACACTATAAACACCGTGATGAAATAATATTGAATGTATATTTGTGTATGTATACATGATAAAAAAGTTTATATATTGTGAACGCGGCCTTTTAAAAAAAATATTCAAAGCAACCAAGCGAGGCCACGGGGAGAATTATTTTTCCAAATATCCAACTAACTGCCCAATGACAGATGTTGGAAATAAAATGACAAATAGGGAAAAATAAATAATGAAAGACTTCGGATAAATATCCAACACACTGGTGGAAATGTTTGGACGTTTTCAATGAAAAGAATCAATTAGTGTTTGCGCTGCAAAATATTTGTATTTATTATTTTCTAACTGGCGCAGTGAATGGAGGCTCACACACATTTAACCAAGCGACAGAATTAGACGCGGTGCTGCAGAAGGCAGACTAGTGTCTGTGTATTACAGTCAGAAGATCTAAAACACAGATCACACTCCAATTCTCTTCTGACGATTAACTTGTGAAAATTGTAACACTGCAGAGACATTATAATAAGAATCATAAGCATATCCATAATAATATCTATTTCGTATTAATGTTTTTATTATTGTTTTTATTTCAACGGTCTATTGAGCTCACAGCTGACCACCTGAACTCCTCATATTTATTATAAAAATATTAATCTCTAAGAATTTCTCATTTTGGCGTTAAACATAATAATGTACAAATTAGAAAATTAAAATTGATAACAAAAAGTGCAAGTGCTTTTTTGCATTTGTTAATAGATTATTCATGAGGTGTAAATTCTGAACTAATTTCTAACTAATAGACAGGGTTTTTTTCCAGGCGCATCAACTCTTTAATAGTGATTTCTGCGGGTTTTTATTTTATTTTGTCCTCATGATGGGGACCTGCCGCAGGACCTGGATACAAGTGAGGCTCCTCTGAATATTTCCTCCTGCATACCTGCATCTGTCCGTGCGTTTCCTATAAAGCCCCGCGGAGAGAGGGGACACCCCGGGGCAGGGCCCCGTGCTGTCAGCGGTCAACTGCTCACTTCCTCTCCCTCATATACTCAGAGATTTAGACCAATATTTAGACAGGATAAGGTTTTATACTCGCTGTGCGCCTCCTCCTCCTCCTCCTCCTCCTCCTCCTCCTCCTCCTCCTCACAGCCTCCAAGGTCCAACACGGACGCGAAAGATAATTGTTTTTTACAAGTTGTAATTTATTATCTGTTAAATGATGTTAACATGTCATTCACAATTTTATCATGCAGATTGTGGCGCATTAAAACCTCATTAAATTAAAGACTGTCTCTGCATCGCATGCGTAAAAACATTTGATGGTTGTTTTTATTGTTTGTGTGTTTGTGGGGGGGGGACTTCCTGATAAACCGATGACATACTCACAAAACAACCACAACAACAACAACAAAAAGCCGTTTAGGAGATCTGTGCTGGTGTCCTTTTTTTTTTTTTTTTTGGAGGAGTATGGGGTGATTTGTCATGAAACCCCAACAGGACACCCGGGACCCCACAGGCCTCTGCTGCGGTGCCCGAGGAACAGAGGCCTCCGATTCTAGGTCCGATCCTCCGGTAAGAGACAACAGGAAGACAGTCGACAACACGAGGGAGTGTGTGCGTGCGTGTCCATAACCTGTCAAACCGCTGTCAGTAACACAAAACTACATTCAGGTCGATGTCTTATTATTATATATGGCACGGACGGTGGCTTGGTGTGTTTGTGTTGACTGTGGTCACGTGTGTGCAGCTGCCTGTCAGTCACTGTCTCACTGAGCAGAGGCAAAAGATGATCAACTAAAAGACAGAAATTACGCGACAAGAGTTTCCTGAGTAAAATAACTGAATAAAGAAAAGTTATACAAATGTTAAAAACATTTAATTATCATACATGCACTTTAAATCCTTCTATAAATTAGGCTACACATTTTAAAGTTGAGGTTTCAGCTTTTTTAAAAGGTGAAGTGTAGCCTACTTTCAGGGCACTCAAACACCGTCATTTGATTTTGCAGATGCAATACTGAACAAATAAATTAAATGAATCCAGGTCAACAGGGAAAGCAGTGATTGGCTCCATAAAGACAATTCAAGTATCCAGAAAGTTTTCTTTTTTTAAATGAAGGTTGTTATCTTAACTTTTACCAAAATGCTGAATTTAATCAGAGTAACATTCGTCAAACTATTCCCAAATAACTTCATCCAACTGCTGTCTCACATGCACTTTTCTAATTATTAAATAGCAGCGGCCGCAGATACGACTCTGCACCCGTCCTGTGCTCAGTGAGGCCTGCTCACACACTTCACTCACTTTGTCTGATTGTTGTCAGGCACTGAGCTCTTTAAGATAATGTTCACACGTTTTTTATTTCAAAGGAAGTCAAAGATGTGCGATGAAAACCTCATAAAGGAAATGTTTTCCCTCGCTCCTGTCGAAGCTGCTTGAATAACTCATATCGCACCGTGGTGTTAAATTAGCTATTTGTGTTTATGCTGAACGTTCAAACGTCTTCTACACTGAAACAAAGTGTGCAGTTACTCCTGAGAAGCTTTAATCAATGAGCCCACAGCTTTCTATTTATAGTCTGCTCTGGCACTTAGTCGAGCAACATCCATTTTAAAATGATGGTTTATTTATCGTGGATAAATTCAAACAGCTTTTTCCTGCTGAAATTCCACCTGTACATTCATCGTCTTTCTGCTCATGAGTGCAGTGGTGAATACTCTGTCCGCTCCTGAGGCCTGCGAGTGAATTCCAACACAGTCTCTTCCCTTTTAGATCATCTCCTGTATTTTGTCTGTTATCACCTGAGTATTTACAAAGGAGGCTTCCGACTTGGCAATGATAAAGTGATTCTGAATCGATGGCATCATATCAGATAAAAAAGAGTGGAGGAATACATCATGAGGGTGGATGGTTGGCTCTTACTGTGCCATGTATGATTCCCTACTTGTTTATCTACCTTCCTATCTATATGTAAATATGTGTCCTATACACAACACGTTGCAGAAGTTTATTTATGCGCCCTCCCTCCCATGGAGGAACATCCAAAACAAACAGGACTAATCCTCTAAATGCTTTATCCCATTAGAACCCTGCTGCTGCCTTCACACGTATTCCACTGACTCTGGTGTAAATTAAGTCTCGATCCGGTCGCTATCGCTGCGGCAGCACAACAACACGCACATTAAAAGATGAACCTCGATAAGCTGCAGAGCCAACGAGGCGATGCTGGAGGCGCGAGGCGGAGAGGTCAAGTCCAGCTACGGCCTCCGGGTGCCACGTGTGTTTATTCTCCTTAGGGGACAGTGGAGAGAGGGATTCCACTGAGTCGACTAGTCCACAGCAACTAGTCTAAAACAACGAGTCCACAACAACTAGGTGCATGGGATGGTTGGGGCAGTGAATGCGTAAAACAACTCTTTTATGAGTCTAAAATGAGATTTGTCTTAAATGAAGTGAAATATCTGCAACAGTTCAATTACATCCATGTTTTTTCTATCAAACCTTTTCACATGGAACTGAAATAAAAGTTCATGTTTCTGTTTGTACTTAAAAACCTGCTGCAACCTCGTGTCAGGAAACTTGCATTTTCACACTGAGCTGGTGCGTAAAAGTCTCATGAATGTCAATATATCTGCATTGCGTCCCCTTGATGTTCCAGACTATACTTCCGAGACCGAGCTGCTCTATATGAGATTCATGGGCACCTAAAATATGCACAGGCATATAAAGTCCCGCAATTTACTGTGGCGCACTCTTAAGTGACATTAAGACATTGCAGTGACGTTGGAGTTGAATTCAAATGACTGACGAGGTCTTATAGAAATAAAACATCCAGTGCGGAGCGCAGACGCTTTTTTTTCCTGGTGGTGCAGGGGGAGGCGTGGATCTTGTTCACTTTTGACATTCTCGTAGCAGCAGTAGCTTCTCCTCAAGGCAGGACTCAGATGACACCACCCCGCCACCGACCGGGGCAGAAACAAGGGAAGCTCATTCTCTCTCTGTCTTCGCTGCGGATGAACTATGTTTTGACACCGGGACGTGTTCGGGGCTTCATCAGATGAATTAGAGCACCGCGGAAACCTCTCGAGTCTTCACAGTAGCAGTGGGAATACTTTGAGAACAGTCCGCCGCCTCAGACGCTGACACCCACCGAGCGCCGGTGGCGGAATGTGAAAACCTCATTTTGGCGCATGTTCCTCTCCATTGTGCGCTGCCTTCTCCTGCTTTCTGGAAAGCGGGGGAGGAGGAGGGACGGCTTTTCCCCCGACTCGATCCCTTGCCTATGGACGACGGCGGTCCCCTCTCTCCAAAGGCAAATGCTTTCAGTATTGCCTCTCTGATTTCGGCTGCAGAGCAAGCAGGAAACGCAGCGTTCGACAAACAGAGAACCGGCCTAGACAAGCCAGACCTGCATAACCACAGTTCCTTTAAAATGCACTACAGCACAGTGACCCGGGAAATGGAAGGTAAAACTGTTTGTTGATGCCCATAGAGCTGCTGTAGCATGTATACATCACACCCGAAACTTCACTGTCCACCCGTGCATCTGCTCGGTTAACCGACATTTTCCAAAACGAGCTGCTGAAACCGATTCGCAAAGCTGCATTTGGGTGCGTTGCTTTGAATGCATGAGTGAAATTAGTGTAAAACATAAATTCTGACACAGTTTGCATGATATTAGAAAGAATTAAGATTCAGTGGAAGCAATAACCATTCGGGAGAAGTGCGCATACAAAGCAGCTAGAATGGGAAAAATAATCGCTATTCCAAAAAAAAGTGTTGCACAAAGAGTCAAGTTTAATTGACAACGAATCAGGAGGAGGGCTTACACGGGCACCCTGTGCGTAATGGTAAAAACCAACCATAATAAGCATATCCAGCAGAGGAGGGTATCCATCCACTCCACAGGCCTATTCGTCCATTTGTCCAATAACGAGAAAGCAACAGTCACCTGCTGCCTGTTTGTTTGTTCATGCAAATCAACGTGTGTTTACCTTGTAAACTGTTGGTCACATCCTCTATTGTTTGTTAACGGGGCTGATGTGGGCGACACCCTTATCCACAAAGTTGAATGGGTGCCGGAAAGCCCATTAAAAAGGGGCGCACTCCTCTGTCAATCAGTCTCGTCCCAAGGCGAGGAAAAGGCACATTACCTGCAGCTCCTTATCTAAATAGAAATAAGAACCAGTTTTATCGCAAAGGGGAGGCCCTCTGCGACAGATAAGAGCGGAGACGGGGTTGCGCTGTGACACACACACACACACACTAACGCAGCAGGAGCAGGAGCAGCAGGAGCGCACAGCAGGAGCGCACAGCAGAGCGCAATCAATCCACGGCTTAAACTATAATACACGCGCGCTCGAGTTTCGTTGGCTCTACTAGTTCAGAGATTCTGCGGGTTTTGGAGACATTTCGGACGCGTTGTGCGTTAGATGAGGCAGACTGTAGCATGCTGGCAGTGGATGCAACCTCAGGGATTAACGCGCAGCCGAGACGGAAACTTTTAAACCGAACTGGGCTGCGTTTGCGCCTCACATTCCCATTTGGAGCTCACTGACTCCTGCGTGTGTTTCCCCCTCTGTGTTCTAACCGAGCCACGGCTGTGAGGCATATTGAGTAAATCCAGTCTTTTTTGGGATGATTTCAGCCATATCCAGTCCGTGGCTGACGCAGCTGTCCCATTTTTGCGATGTTGCAGCCTTCACGACGAGCAGCCTGAGCAGCCTCAACACGCCGGGGGGCTACCACCTCTCCCCGTCCCCCGGGGACCCCTACATCCAGCATGAGGCCCACTTCGAGCCCTGCCCGGCCGCCCAGCACAGCTACAACTACCCGGGCTCTAACCCGGGCCAGGCCCCGCCGAGCGACAGCGGGACTCCCAACTGCTCGTCGTCGTCCTCCAGCTCCACACCGAACAGCAAAGCTATGGTGAAGAAGAACCCGAAAGTGGCCAACATCAACGTGCAGCTGGAGATGAAGGCTTTATGGGACGAGTTTAATCAGCTGGGAACGGAGATGATCGTCACCAAGGCCGGCAGGTGAGCAGGGCGCACCGCAGCTTGGGCTTCCATCACATCTGATAACATTACTACACATACGAGCTTCAGGAAAACACCGGCACAGCAAGAACTTGAATTTTCATATTTCTATTTTTATAAAGCTTTGCAGTTGAGTCTAAACAAAATCTCACAACGGTGAATTCGAATTAATTAATCCGTAATTTAAGAAAATATATATGATTGCAAATCAAATTTGGATAAAGGCGTTTAATTAATAAAATAACTTTTTTTCCCCTCTTGAGTTTATAATGAACTGACTTGATTTACCCAGTTAAGCGCGTGTGGTTTTTCTTTATTCGTTTATGGCTCCAGACATGATTTGAATAAGTTCGGCATGATCGTAACATTTGATAGGACAGTACTTTGCTTCCTGCATATTGAGGCCTAACATGTCTGTGCTGGTAAAACTGAGCTGAATAAATGTAGGAACACTGACATAAGCTTATAAAATATATTTCATGTAAAGTTGTGCAGGGGAGTAGTTCAGGCCTGAGGCTGGAGGGATTTTAAAAAGTCACGTAAAAGAGAAGGTTAAACGCATGGAGGCTGTGTGTGTGTGTGTGTGTGTGTGTGTGTGTGTGTGTGTGTGTGTGTGTGTGTGTGTGTGTGTGTGTGTGTGTGATATGCTGTGTTTTACAGATCCAATAATGATGAGATTTATTCACCGCTGTTACAATGCAACATACAGCCTGAGAGTCTTTACACGTGTGAATGAACATGAGCTCATGTAAAAGATAATTAGTGTCGCACTATTTGATTTAACTCGGGCCTCAACACATATTTCACTTTCTTTTATTTCCTATTTACAGTAGTGTGCACCTCTCTCTCCTCAGTCTAACAAACAATTATAGGAGTTGTTTAAACACATTCAAATCTGGTTTTGATTTGGTTATTAATAATTAAGAAGAAAACAGATTAGGGAAATATAAAAATAGCTAATAGCGATTTTATTTTTTAGATTAATCAATGAGGCTGTTTTTTTGTTGTTGCAGAATTTCCACTTTGTTCTACATGCGTGCTTACCAGCGTTGACCTCTGACTCTTGTGCAGAGCCCGCCAGCACTCAGCATATTTTTTCACACAGTAAATATCTAAGTGTGTGAGTTTTCCTTGTAATATAAAGAGACGTGAGATAATTGATTTAATTGTGAGAGCCCGGGCTGAGCCTGCCCGCGCTGCGCAGGCTGACAGGAGAAAGCAGATCTGCAGCAGAGCACTTTAAAAGCTCCTTCAGCCTCACCTAGCCACAACACTGACGTTAATTGAGCGTTGATTTTTAGGATCCCTTTCACTGACTCGGCGGATTACTCAACTTTCAGCTGATGTTGTTGGGGGATATGGATCTGTAACCTAACCTTAACGAGCTGGAGGTGGAGGGGAGAAGAAAAAACTAATGTTTGTGTGCGTGGCCGCTGACTGAGCCACTGCGTCCAAAAGAGACGAATACTTTAAATGAGACGAATACATGAGGGAAATAAGATAATTAATTGTTAATACATTTAGAGGGGTCACCAAAATATCAGCATGCACACGGAACCACCACCTTTTTTAATACTAAGAAAAGTCGGGACGTCCCTCCTATCAAACTTTGCTGCTTTTAGTATCTTTACGCACACGCAAAATGTGCGTAAAACGTCAATGCGCGCGTGTGTTCTGTCCACTTCATGTGTATTGGCCTTCGTGTGTCTGGAATTCATCAGAGAACTAGAGGAAGGAGAAGAAGTTAAAGCGCTTTGCCAGAAGTTACAAGCGCGGAGTCACAAAAGACAACACTGCAAAAGCTCAATTCAGATCAGCGGGAGTTTTAGCCGGTTACGCACGGGCTCAATCACGTCATTTCCAATAGTTTGTGTCTGTGTCTTCTTGTAGCCTGAGCTCTGTTGGCCTGGGAGCAGCCATACAGTGCAGACACCCATGGCCTAAAATAATAATAAAAATAATAATAGGAAATACTTTGGCAAAATCATTTGCTGGCTCCTCGGACGAATTCCAAAATATTTGAACACCACCGTCCACGACTCCACATGATCCAGTATTTTCTTTGTTAAATAGGACAAAATGTGCAGCCCTACAAGCAGCAGCAGTAGTAACCATTTAAAGCCTGGAGTTAACAGTCACCCCATGTTGTTTTTTTTACTTTGCCAGGAGAATGTTTCCAACTTTCCAAGTGAAAATATTTGGGATGGATCCGATGGCAGACTACATGCTCCTGATGGACTTCCTGCCTGTAGACGACAAACGTTACAGGTACTAGTTTTTGGACATCTCTGGACACATATGGGACACACACGTGTCTCCACGGGACCGTAAAACATTGCGCAAGGTCGTTGGTTTTTACTGTTGCGCGCAATCCACATTTTGGAGTATTGCATTCCAAAAGCAAAATAGTACATCACAAATGCACTGTTCAAATAAATATATGAACACGTTCTTTAACGCATTGATTTTAGTCAATACCTCAAATCACTTTTATAAATATTTCTGCAAGCAACCAAATTGTGCCGGAAGTGTGTTGGTGACCATGCTAAACATTTCAGTTACATTCAGTGTCATTTCTCTCATATCACGGAGATTATTGTATTTTCTCCATATCCTCAGTCTCCCCAGGTGGCTGACTTTTATTTTTTCAGACCATTTGTGGAACATTTAAAACCTCGTGTCTTACTTACTTTGTTTTCGGTCTTGCAGGTATGCTTTCCATAGCTCCTCGTGGTTAGTGGCGGGTAAAGCGGACCCCGCCACTCCGGGCAGGGTCCACTACCACCCGGACTCTCCAGCCAAAGGCGCACAGTGGATGAAGCAGATCGTCTCTTTCGACAAACTCAAGCTCACCAACAACCTGCTGGATGACAACGGACATGTGAGTAACCTGTTCAACAAACTTTAGTTTGACCATAATATAGTTTGATGTGTATAGACCCAAAGTTTCTACCGCAGTGAACCAACAATTCAGTGGGAAATTATTAAATATGATCAACTACTGGTAACCATGTCCATGAAGGAAGATTCTTATAAGGAAGAGTATTTTCTATTCGCCTCACGCTGATTGATACAGGTAATTAAACCTCAGTGTTTTTGATTTATAGTCAGATGGTGCCAAGAACAGAATTTCACAGAAATGACAGATACGCATCAGACTTTCTCCAGAAACGACGGCAAGGATGTGGAATATTTCACCGCTGGAATTCAGTCTTTCCCGCATGATTCCGTGCGTCTTCTCATTAGTTGTGATTGAAATCAGCGAAGGAAAAGAGAGATGCTTGTGAAGAGGGGGATATTTTAGAAAATACTGTCGGTAAAGGAGTTAGATACGCACAGGACTGCAATATGATAATTATTATTCAGAATTCAGTTCTCGAGCATGAGTCCTGCTCCATGTTTAGACTTTTTTGAGAAGAATTATTCTGATAAATATTCTCAGCCAGTTTTTATATAATCAGATGCGTGCACGGATTAAATGTGCTCTTAACGGGAGCGTCAGGTTATTTCTGCATTTTAATGAATTTACCAAACATGCTTAGAAATAAATAAATTGTTTATTGGGATTTGGAAGTCATTAAAACTATCTCTCTCGGGCTTTAAACGATACTTCTACTTTTTGTTTTTTCATTTCGCTAGATTCAACTTTATAAACCTGCCTCGAACATCGAAAACACTCTGACTTAATTGCAGTGTTGGGTAATAATTGTGCACTAGTGCTGATCCATCCTTCGTCTTTCACAGATCATTCTGAACTCTATGCATCGCTACCAGCCCAGGTTCCATGTGGTCTACGTGGACCCCCGAAAGGACAGCGAGAAATACGCAGAGGAGAATTTCAAGACCTTTGTATTCGAGGAAACGCGCTTCACGGCGGTCACAGCTTATCAGAACCACCGGGTAAGAACCGCCAAACCTGCGAGAGACTCACGTGGTGCACTGTGCAGGAATATACATTTTGTGACTCAATTCTCATAAGTTAGTATTCAAGTAAGCATAAAGTGGATTTTTACAAAAAACAACCTAAACTTTATTCCGGGGCTATTAGATGAGAGCCCACTGCTAGGTCATCAACTACTGGTTGATAACGACACAGGGTATGGAAAAACGAGTAGATTTTATCATTATTATTTATTATTTGGTGGCAAATAAGCGTGTTTCATGGCGCGTTCTCTGTGCGTAAATTGTGCGTGTTTGCTCTTTACGCACATCAGTGGTCCCCCTTTCGGCGTCCTCCCTGCTCTGGTTTCTATCAGTCTCTGCTGCGTCTGTTTAGATTCACACACCAGCGCATTAATGGTTTCTACAGGGTGAAACGTGGCGAGTGAAACATAAGAATGAAGTTGGGCTCCAATCAGCAGTGTACGAGTGATGGTGAAATGTGTGAGAGTCGGTGCACTGCTGCGAGCGCAATGTTCCCGTGAACAGGCGATACATCATTTAAAAATAAATGTTCTGTTTCACATTAATTGTCACAGAAAGTGTTCATTATTTTTACACTTGATGAGCACAATCACAGTAACAGGGGGTAAATTAGTCACACGTTTTTGTGATGTGACCCACAGACGAGCAGAATTCAATTTTAATCATCATAAAATAATGATGATGAGAAATGCAGTCAAGTAATAATTTAAGATGGGACTGTGCTGTGTCTGATATATGAATGAGAAGCTATGCAGCTGTTATGAGTTCAAACATCAACATAGTCAGAACAAGATAAGTTCTATAATATTACTATTAGCCCTGTATTGACAACTCTGCATTGTCAGCTCGACAATTTAAATAAAACTGAAGTGAAATGATTCTGTAGTCCAGAACAACAGACGGTCACTTACATGTTTTCCTTCTTCAATGACTGAGCTGATTTTTAACCTAAAATTCTTGGTCCTTCATTTTATCCCACAACTGCTGTTCTTTCTTTCTAACAGAAATCACTATTAGAAAATAAAAAATGTATTGTGTATAATTACATGTGAGCATAACTGAGGTTTATTTGATGTGCTCTGGATTTCAGATCACACAGCTGAAGATAGCCAGCAACCCTTTTGCAAAGGGCTTCAGGGACTGTGACCCAGAGGACTGGTGAGTGTTTATAACAGCACAGTACAATTTTATTTCCATATGAAGTTAAAATTTGCACCAGGGCTGTCCACGCTAGAGAGCATTTTTAAAGCAGTTTTTTCTGTTTGCTTTATTCCACAAAGGTGACAGATGGGTGTAGTTTTCCACAAAAGAGAAGATAATGAGTGCCCTGATGTTTCATAATCACTGGATATTGTTTGAAAGTCAATCATCTGAGCTTTTCTGTCATTGACAAATGACCAAACGCTCTTTAATCGTCACAGTGGAGTAAACTGCACCCACCTAGGATAAACAGGCAGTTGAAACAAACATAAATATGTTTTTAAAATGCTCCTTGTCTAGCACTTAATTTTTTTTATAGCATTTACTGAAGCAATAGTGATTACCTTTATTGGGATTTTTGATTGTTTTATATAAAACAGACTCATCTGAGACTTATAAAAATGTCTCTTCACATTTCAGTCACTGTAAATTAGTGGCACGTCAATGTGTAAATGCTCATTACATGCATCAGTGTAAACTCTGAAAATATGCATTCATCATTTTAATATATAATTAAGAAAATGTGCCCTTGACTTTCATTAAATGAGTATGAAACTAAATCCATTCTCCCCGCTGCAGGCCCAGGAATCACAGGCCAGGCTCTCTGCCAATAATGAGTGCCTTTGCCAGAACAAGAAACCCAATGTCATCTCCACCTCAGCAGAACGGCACAGAGAAAGGTCTGCAGCTCGCTCCGTGTTTCATTAAAAATAAAAAAATGTCTGCTATCACACATTCAACACAAGTCTTCTTCGCATATCAAGCTTTCAGAAGATTTTCTTTTTCTTTCAGTTGCTGGCAAATTGAATTCATTCTGTTTTAGTTTTTTTCATATTAATTTAAGCACAGTGCATTTGCAGAATCAGGTCAATATTGGCTTTTAATTAAACATCAAGTATCAGCCAGTCAATGTCATTCACTGCTGATAAAACACATGTTCTATAATATTGTATAATTGGCTTCACTCTAAAGAAAAACCTGCATTTAAAACTATCTTGAGATAGCTGTGATTTTATTTATCAGTTTAATAATAATTGTTTGACCAGTTGATGTTAAGTTGAGGGTCACACCTTCACTGTTTAAAGCTTCTAATCCGTCTGAAATCATTTTATAATGATGGTTTCTATTTATTTCCTATGCAACGTTTCTACTGTATAGTGATCTACACACATCTTTCGCCATGTGAATAATAATAAGTGAAATGAGGTCTTATTACATATCAGGACACAGTGTAAACTGTTCCTGGCTTCTACTCAAACACAGTGGAGTCAGTACAAGTCTTCAAAACTCTGTACATGTCAAAACACACTGCAGCTCAGGGTGTATTACTGAACACACTCACTGTGTACGATAATATACACACCCTGCTGGTACTGAGTATTCATATGTCATCTGTCTCTGGCTGTGTCTGACTGTCTTCATGTCTCTTCCTCCACAGAGGACAGTAGACGGGAATATGATCGAGACCCCAGCGGCACGCCCATACACGCTGATCCGGCTCACCAACTCATGTCCCGGGTCCTAAGCCCTGCCCTGCCTGTCCCGGGAGGCCTCCACGCCGTCCCGCTCACCAGCGGCCGGCCCAGCCCTCCCCATGACCTTCGATCAGACCCCCACACTTTACCCCCGGACACCCTGCACCACCACCCTTACAAGTACCCCACCACCTATGAACACTACCTGGGCGCCAAGACCAGGCCGTCGCCCTACCCTATACCCAGCATCAGAGGACACACATACCATCACCACATGAACCCAGCTACAGCTAATATGTACTCAGCCACAAGTGGCCCCTCTAACTACGACTACGGGCCCAGATAATGACTGCTGTCCACTGGGGCTAACAGCACGCAGCACTGTGGGGATGGAAAAAGGCAGGAAAGGTGACACAGTTCTGTCTATTAGTGGCTTACACAACCTGTGGGTGTGTTACAGGCTGAAACTCCTCTCTGCTGGATAAAACCCTGCCGTATTTATTTAAAGGAAATGCATCTTTGGGGTAAACATGGCCACCTGCTCTGAGCCCTTGACGGGGTCTGATTTGAACCCTTTGAACCCCAAAGACAACAGCTCCACACCAGGTCGCCTCTTACCTGAGCGGTGCGGACATTGAGCCAGCAAACACAGGAGACAGGAGGGACCTCTCCTTATCACAGACAAAACTTTTCATCACAGACTGGAACTGATTTTTTTCTTTGTGTTGGATGCACTTTTTGATTTGCCTTGTTTTTATTGCTTTCAAAAAAGCCATATGTTATATAGTCCATCAACCTTGTAGGTAGACGAGATGTTTGCATGTTGAGCTCATCAGAGGGGGTGTCGAAACACATCAAATGTTTTTGTTTGAGGAAAAAAAAAAAATTGGATTTAGAAACATCCTGAACCTTTTTGAGCCGCTCTGAGAAGCTTGCACCATGGCACTGACTTGCAGCAATACAAAGTAAATAAATGAAGCAGAATGACTGTTCTGTATCTGTAAAATAAACATTTAATTCTTGTAATTCATAAAGAGGTTTGTTCTTTGTGCCAACCTTCCAGTCAAAGTCCCATCTGCTGCTGCAGCACTACACCGGGGAGAGTTGCAAAGAAAAGAAAGATTACCTCACTGATCTTATTGTTCAGGTTTCTCCGTCCAGATTTGCCCGGTTGAATCAGGTTGAGGTGTCTGCTGCTGCTGCAGTCATTTGGAAGCAGAACCAGGAGCTGGAAGCTGTCTAAACATTACGCTGTAGTTCAAATGTGGAAATCTGCATCTGGATTTAAGAAAGAAAAAGTACACACACATGCAAAATGAGTCACTGACTTCACTTCCTACTTCCCTCTCAGTTTTGATACAACTTGTGGGCACGAATACTGCATGGGTTCTGTGACATTACAGACTGTAGTTTGATGTTAAAGACTAAAATGATGTTTAAAACTGTATTATTGCAGTGAAAGACTGCTAAGATAATTGTCACTTAAAAACTTATAGTGATAACAATTAAAAATTTTAAATCATTTTAAATAAATCAAATATGAATTATTTAGTACATTGCAATACTATTTTTCAACAATCATATTGTTCTGATAATCTGTTTTTAAAAAGCATGTATATTCAGAGATGTGCATCACTGATTTTCCAGAAACATTTGATGACAAAGTGGAAAAGAGGCAGCACTTACATTTCCCCTCTCTCCCCCCAAAAGGATATCATTGCTCATATTTAATGGGACAGTTGGCTGATATTTTAAGAATGTCACCCCCCTCCTATCTGTGCAGCCATTTCCATCTCCTATTTGAAGTCCTGTGAGGAATGCTCTGCTGTCAAGGTTAATCTAGTTTGGGGCTGGGGGTGTAGAGGGGGGGGGATTTGTGCCTGTCACGATACAAAGGGAAACGTAACCTAATGATTCATTTCAATAATGTCATATTTTTCTCCTTGAACTCAGCTGCCAGAGGAGGAGGGGGGGGGGGGAGCCTGAGGGCTGCTGACCTCTGACTGTTTAATGGCTTGTAAAGGTGTCAGAGGTTAAATAATGTTTCCACGCATTTAAACTCAGACTAATTGGTCGTGTAATTGTTTCTTTGTTTCTTCGCATGGTGACTAAAGCTCTGGTATGTATGTACCTGACAATGGAACTTCATCATGAAGCCAATATGTGATTTAATCCAAGGCTGAAGATCTTTGTTGGCTCCGTTAGCTGATAGCTTGGCACTAAAAATGTCAAATTCAATTGAGTTTGGCCCAATAATCAATAACTCAAACAATTAATTAAAATAATAATTAATTAATAATCAAAATAAGTTTAAAGGGTCTAATCATGAATCTATAATTCAGATGGAGGTCTTTTTAAATACCGTATATCATTATCTCTAATGACATTGTTCATATAGTCATAATGAAGAATACTATCAAAACTTAAAGAAAGATACTCGCGCTCCCGCGGTGCGGACTGGAGGCGGAGGAGTGGACACGTGAAGCCGCCTGGAGTGAGCCGGCGGCGGCCTCAGGTGCTCAGATCCGCCGCTGTGATCCGAGGGAGCACCGCCGGGGCTCGTGCACGTGGAGAGTAACCAGGGGCAACACGGTTCGAAAGGTGACGCGGACTAATTATAGGTTTCATTACACACGAGACACGGACAGGCCGTATTTAATGGAGTCAGGCTGAATAAGGAGTGGGACATGCATCTGTGGACACAAGGGAACAGCAGCTTTATCGTTTTTATTAATAGTTGGACTTCATCATTTCAACGAAGAAGCTCACAACTTGTTTTCATGGGGTGAAAATGTGAGTTAACCTGATGCAGAGGTCAACTCAATGAGTTCAAACCTTGTATTACTGTGTCTGCCAGTGTTGAAGGTCCACTGCTGTTAGAGGGGTTTCATGCAGTGGTTCATCAACAGTTAGGAGACAAAGCACAGGTGGAGAAGGTGTAGGTTATAGAGTGGATGCAATGTCTTTAAAAATACTTTAACTAATACAAATAAATCAGATAATAATCCTGCGTTGAAAATATACCTGAAAAGTATATAATTCTTTTTTGTTCCTTACAATTTAATTGTTGATGCTGAAGGAAGAGCTTTTTAATTTATTTTACTATGGCAACTTCATCAAATCATTTTATATGATTTTCCAAGTAAAATCTTAACTTGTAAAATAACTAAAGTTGTCTCATGGAATGAGGTACAATGGTTGCCTCCAAGTTATGTAGAGCAGCATTAAATGTAAATACCCAAGAATCAATATTCCAGTACACTTGGATAAATGCACATAGTTACTTTACACCACTGTAACAGTTAAGGCATTGATGAAAACCCACATATCCAGAACATAATGTTGGTCATACTCTGAGAATCCATGATGTTTGAATCAGTTTGAGTAAACCTGACACGGCTCTCATTTTCTAACCCCGACCTGCAGCAAACACAGATTATGTTTTCCCTATTTTAGTCTCAAGTACCGTGGCAAGGTTTAATTGTACTGACCTGAGATCATATATAACAGACTGACATTAAAGATATCTTGCAATGCCAAATAAATTAGTTTTTATGCAAGCAGAGACAAATCAGGGAAATTGCGCCTACTGGAGGAATTATTATGCATTGCACCTGAATATCAATCAATCTCATCAGCATGGAGCCTGTTCTGGAAAACATTCTCTGCATTAGATTTCTACGCTAGCACTTAAATGGGCACTGGCATGCTTTCAATAAGTTTAGGCCATTTCCAAGCCCGATATTTTGATGTATCGTTCATTTTGCACAGAGGATAACAGAAACTTTCTTAGACCCACTTACACTGCATTAAGGTTTGCATGCCCAGATCTCAGGCTCCAGGAGACTGTGTGCCAAGGACTCGCCACTGAAGCATGCAGAGGATGGATGATAATGGGACCTGAGGCATCAACTGACACTCAGCTGCATCTGGAACATCTGTTATGACAGGCCTATCAGGGTCTCGATGCGTCCGCTTCACCTCTGTACGTTTCTGCTGAAAAGCCTCACTTGGACAGTTATTAAAAACAAGACAGGTAAAGCAACCAGACATCCACCTAAACAACAGAACACATGTTTCACATTTCCCCGACTCGGGCCTCGCAGCTAATAGAAAAGGTGCTACGGTTTATGGTGCGCATGAGGTTGTTGACGGACATTTTATGCAGCCCATCAAAACACATCACCGTCATGAGGCAAGAGTCATGATACGTTTGTATTAATTCACATTTAGAAAAATAAATAAAAGCAACTTGGTGAGACTCTGGCTGCAGCTTCAACAGAGAGGAATTATTTTCCTATAATCACTCTTTTTCACCATTTATATTTTCTAAATAATCAGGCTCAGTGTGACGTCTTAGCAGGTAATATTACCCATGAATACACCCGAGAGGTCAGCCAGTACCAACATTACACACACACACACGCACGCACACGCAGGCAATCCAACAGATTATGTCCCATCCCAAAGCCAGGCTGAACTCTGACCTTAGAGACCAAGGAAGACACACATTTGTTGATAAGTGAAGCACAGGGCCCGTTGTGCTGACAGCTTCCCTGTCCATTTATTGACTTCCTTAATGATCCATTATGAAGTGATTTATGACGTCCACCAGCCACTTCTAAGGCCGGTGGGTGGCTGTCTGCTCCATTCAGCAGACATCTGCACCAATGGACATAGTATTTGATTTATCAGAGAATGGACGGAAGCTGGCCCACGCCACCTCTAGTGTTTGTTCAAAGCCAACAGGAGAGTTAGGAAGCTATTATGAAGGCGAGATGTCACCATAGGGGTCAGACACAAAAGGTATAGACGAGGAAACAAGGAAAACATGTCATTAAAACCAGGCAGTTAAGAGAGGAGAAAAGTAAGCAAAAAAAGTTTTCAGTCCAAGTATTTTTTAAATGATAAAAAGGTTTTCAACAAAACATAAATGGTTTTGAACTTAAAACTAAATACAAGCAAGAAAACCCAGAGCTGCAGTTTCACTGTTTTCCATGACAGTTGCACCACAGCGAGGCGGCTTGTCGAGCAGATGACCTTGTCTTTCCTCTGTTCACTAATGATTCGTGGCCATTATGTGGGCCCCGGCTCTTTGATTTCTCAGGCTTTTCCTGTACAGCATGATGAGTTTCTCAATTTTGGGGTTATCCCAGGAGACAAAGCCTTTATGAAGCAGAACGTTGGGCGTTTGAAGCCCCGGCCCCCTCGGCCTCCCGGCACCGTGTTGTAACACATGAGCTCCCATGCTGCTCATCACAGAGAAATAATTCGAGACAGTGGACAGAAAAACATCACCTCTATATTTTCTCCTGGCTTCCTTCTCTACAAACGCCTGTTTCTTAAAAAGACATCTCTATTTGACATTACATGTTTCTGATTTTGTCTAAATTTATAAAGTAAATAAATCAGCTCATAAACAGAAACGCCAACTGCAGATCTGCACCTTTACTAAAACAACATCCCTCTATTCTCTCCCCCTGCTGTGATTAACCTTGTTGAACAAATACAGGTCAGGTCAGGCTGCAGCGCCTGTGTGTTAGGCTAAGACCTGCTAGAATAACAACATGGGATTACATCGCTCAGGTGCGTTGTATACGTCAAATTCAAGACCACTGGAGCAAATCTCCCATCAGATAAGTCAACACAATCACTTTAGCTGCACAGGGCATCGCATCAGCCTTTAGAAAATAGTGGGCTGAACAACTTTGCACTATTTGACGAGACAGCAGCTGTTTCAACGGGTTTCTCAGCAAAACAATGGAAGTGCAGCTCTAAAAGGCTCAATTTAAATGTAAAATACTGGATTATGACACAATACAGCCTTGATATAGAATGCAGTCTGCAATTTTACATCTTCATGTTTACTGCTTAATCACAATGCGTCTCTCAAAATCAGTTACCAGTTTATATGATTTCTACAAACAGATTCTGCATGTGAGCATGAAGTAACTGTCGGTGATTTATAGTCCAGAAGCCTTCGGGTCTGTGTCTAGTTCGACCGCTCACATTTGAGCAGGCTTTGGTTGCTCGCAGGTAAACAGTCTGTGTGGGGAGCAAAAGAGGAGAAACACATCGACTGAAATGCATCAGCTTTTTGAATAATCTGCTTTCATATGCAGGTAGCTGTTAATTGAGATTTGCCAAAAGGTCGCCTGGACTTAAAACATCTACAAAAAGTTATTTGTTTTGGTTTGGCGTGGAGAATTGTTCAACTCCTGTGGACTCATCAGACTGTAAACAGTGTACAGCAGAACAGTCTTGGACCAAAGATCTACTGTCAACACCAGAAACCCCAAAATGTTACTGCCAGAGACTAATACTCAGTTTATTAGATGCCCTTGGAAAAATCTAACGCAGTATGATATAGATCTACCATACATCCTAACTTAATGTTCAGATTTAATAATATAAAGCAGTATTAAATGTTGCATTGAACTGTATCCACTCCTTTTATATCCATGAGGGTAAAAAACATAAAAAAAAACAAAACATAGTCCTCTTTGTGGTGCAAGTTGGGAAACAGGTTTTCACCATGAAGCAGACAGAGTTTTGTCTACAAGAATGTCAGAAATATGGAGCAGCCGTTGCATCACATTGCATCATTGCAGATGACAGATAAGAAGGCTTGAGTCAAAGTCTGTGTGTCCTCCCAGGAGTCAGAGGTTCAGCCGTTGTCAGCTCCTTCGTTGTATATTGACCACAGGCTGATCCTCTGGTCCTTGGATCCAGCAGCCAGCAGCCTCTGTCTGGGGTCCTGGTGGTTTGAGAAGGCCACGCTCAACACCATGTCAGTGTGGTACTGAAGCACTGCCAGTGGCCGCAGCTTCTTCCAGCCAAAGACCCGCACCCGGTGATCCCAGCCCGCCGATGCCAGAAGCTTACCGTCGTCCCTGATACACAGGTCGGAAACCCCAGGGTTGACCAGCGTCACACAGTCCTGGAGCTGTAAATAGTTATGGAGAAGAAAATATTAGCAGGTGTTAGAACCATATTTAAAACATGCATCTGTGGTACTTCCCAGGTATTACGAGCACTGCCACAGCTTTTACTCTGCAAAGTCCAAGGATGGTTGGTAGCAGATTCTTTGTGTCATTTGTTGGAGAAATTTAAAACCAACCAGAAATGATCAGACATACTAAATAGGTCAGTAAGTCGATTAATCACTGCCACCGAAGAAACTGAGGCCAACACAAACACTGACTTGGGGGAGACTATCAGCTGATCTGATGACTGAGGTCCAAGTGTGGGGCTGGATGTGTGTTGAACCTGGCCGTAGACTCCTGGGACTCAATCATCGGCCGTAAAACATTACGGCACGAGGGCCACAAGCAAATCTCTCTGCGTCCCTCTATTTGGATTGGAGTTAGGGAGACCTGATCTGGAAGCACGATGGGGCTTTGAGTTACCTCTGTCACAGTTTTGTGAGAAAAGAGAGATAGACCATCTCGCTGAAACACTTGTTTGCAGAGGCCTTGTTGCTTTAAGCCCCTCTGATGAATTACATTCGCATTGAAAGGTCCGGTCAGCGGGAGAAAAGACCCGATAAATACGCTGTTGTAACATCTGCCTGCTAAAGATTAGCCACGGCCAGCTCTCCCCGTGATCTACAGTGTCCCAAGGACTGTATCAATCTCTCTAAAGGGGCAACTTTCAGACACATTATAATGAATGGCGGCTCAGATCACTATCTAAAGGGCCTGCTGTGGTGGGCATTCCTGCGGAGCAGACGTGCTCTTACTGCAGCGTAGGGATCCCTGCTGGACGGCTAGATGGGACACAAACATCTGGATATGGGAGCCGAAATCAAACTGGACAGCGTAAAATTGACTTCATAAGTTGTGTCTAGAGAGACTAATGGCCTTTGATGGGAGGAGACGGAGGGGAATTTATCTGCGTGCTCCTGTTCCGGGCAGGAACCATCCACTGGCTGCATGTGGAAAATATAAGCCAGGTACTCGCAGCCCAAGTGGGAGAGAGAGAGCAGGGAGGAATGTCATTGATCAAAACAGAGCAACAAAGTTCACAAAAAGCAATGATGTGAATTCTTCTCTTTCTTTTTTTAAAACCACCGTCCCTACAGAACCACTGGTATGAAACAGTGACTGGTCATACCAAACAAACCAGATACACTGATACAAAGAAACCCGGGGGGGTGACAGATTGTTTGGAGCTTTGTTATTACCTCAAGAATCTGGTATGCCCCTACCTCGCTGCATCTGGTTTGCATTAGAGGCCTGATAATGATGGGTTTAAGTGTCTGTTTTTGTTTGTTTTGCTTCCCATAGTTTGTGTCAGGAAAAGGCATTTGTTTCATTAAAGGGTCAAATGTAAGCAGTACATGGCTAATGATGTAGTAATGCTCATTCAGCAGGACGACCCGTACAACTGTTTTTACTTTCCACAGTCTGAGAAAGCAGAAGGAAAAGTGGTGAGAAAAAGGCTCGTTTTGTGCTGTGATTTAAAATTAATGATGCTCGGGTGAAGCTACGCTGGTTCCTGAGCTGCCAAGGATGGTGGTTAACATGAGATTTCATGTGCCTGTGGTGCTCCATAGTAACAGTGTTCAAACAAGTTGATTGACTAACAATTTGATCATAGATATTTAAATATTCTGAAATTAAATTATTGTTTTTGTTGAAGCCTTTTGAAATTTGTTGAACAAAACCTCACTAAAATATTACTATAGCACCATCATAAAACAGTGGAACACAAAACACATGTCCTATCTTTATATTATTATACAGAGCTGATCTTTGATACTTGCAGATACATGAGCACCTAAATCCTCTTAGTTCTTGAAATCTATAGGAGTCTGGTCAAGTTTTGGTCAGCTTTGAATATAGTGCAATGAGAGACTTGGAATTATCAAACAAATCACTTTGTAAATAATTAATACATTTATAAATATCTCCAACTTTTTGAGAGGGTTAGGGTAAAGAGTTTAGGTAGAGAGTAAAGCAGAAGCATATATGTGAAAAAATATATTGGTTCCAGGTTTCCAAATGGGAATATTTGCTTTTTTAAGTGTTCTATGATAGTAAATTGATTCTTTCGATTTTTTTGGACTGTTGGTAATTCAGAAAATAATCATCATATTAATGGATGGTAAAAATAAATAGTTTGAAGTGTAATCTTAATTGTCTTTCTTAAAAAGGGAAATATCCCAAATAATAATAGCATTGATTCTATAATTGTATTTATTCCAGCTCAAACACGGCTGTGCTGGCTTGTTTTACTGGATGCCCCATTTTTCTTCTTATTGAACCTTACTACCTCATCAAAGACAGGATCCCTCTCAGGGATAAACACTCCTTTCTGGCCTGTGTTATAGCCTGTGTTATTTACTGATAAACAGCTACACACACACGGACGCACATGCACACACACACCACCTGCTGTCTAAACGCCAGCTCTCTCTCAGCTGTCAGGACTCTACCAGCTCTGCTCAGCAGCTTGGCCCACAAGACTCGCTGTGGTTCTGTGATGGATCCAACACAAACTCACACTTCAGGATCCTCTTTTGTAGCATGTCACTGACAGAGGAGACGTTCAAAAGGAGCGGTCCACTTGGCAGACCTCACTCAAGCCCCGCTTCTCTTTTCCTCCCTCGTCTTTCGCGCCAGTCTTGGCACCGATCTCGGCGTTCACGCTGATCTACTGAAACGTCCCATCATCGCTCACTCACTGGAGCAGAGCAGCTGCGAGGCTTTTCGCAGGTATTTCTGACACGCCCTGTCCCAGAATCACACTCGGCAGCGGGGAGATTACAGCCTTTTGTCACCTTGCTTGTCAGAGCCTGGCTCTGGCTGACAGGAGATGGACGTGTCAAACAGGTGAGCTGTCCCATTCAGAAAAGATGGGGGTGGGATCACTCAGTAGAAAGAGCCATGATTTTTATGACAGCCATCTTGGACATACATCAGCCCAACAAAAGGACTGAGATTGGGCCTGATGTGACCTGACGCATAAGTCGGGTCACGATGCCATGCAGGTGAATACTGAGGGAGGCAGTGTGGATATTTCTACATTGTAGTGAAGATGAGGACCAGGAGTTTCACCTGCAGAGATCTGTCATCAGTCTCAGAAATAGCTCACTGTCAGCTATGCTTGATTTGCACTGCTTATCTTCCTTTGTCTTTCCCTGTTTTCTCTTCTTCTAGTCCGTAACCTCTCGTCTTTTTCTTTCTCCTGGAGCAGCCTGTCACTGCACATGTCAATACATTTGAGTGGCCGCCTAAATATATGTCCATCTGGCTTAACAGCTTGTAAACCCTGACACCCACGCCCCTCATAGTCGCACTCGGACACGTTTCCAAAGACGCGCGGTAGAAGGAAAGTGAAAGAAAGGGCTGAGGAGGATGCCTCTCTTCTCTTAAACGATATCAGGCCAGCCGGGTCAAACAGCAGATAAAGGCCTCTGGGAGCCATGTGTAATACATTAACCTCCATTCCTGAGGCTATCTGTCTTTATCTGGCCTTGATAAGCTCACTTCACAGCCCTTCTGCTTCACTAAATCATAACTGCACTGTGTTGTGTCACATTCAGTTTCCCCTCCATTTCTCAAAAAGCATCTATCTGCCCTGCCAGCCAGTTCCACTGCACTGGACTGTATCGCAGTGGTAATTTGTGGGAAGTGGGATGCTGCGGCACTTATAGCCTCCTCAGCCTTTATTGCAGCCTCCCACTGTGAACTACTGTTCCCTTTACTGCAGATGTGTTTTTTGTTTGGTTAAGGGGCCTCCGAGGTTTTGATATTTTTATTACCTCTCACGGGTCATCCGTCAGGACTCGGGGCCTGGGTCTGCCACCCGGCTCTCCCCCCACCCCCCCTTACTGCTGCCACACAAAAATACTTTTGTGGGAAGAACTGAGGATAGCTGTCTGGACGTCACACTGAGCTGCACTTCAGGATAATTTAAAAGCCCCTGTTGGATCCTTTCCCTCTCCTTGTGCTTTTTTCCTGTCGTCCTCATCCTGGATTACATGCTGAATCAATATTTTGTTGCTTGAGCAAAATAAACCAAATAACCACCTTCCTTCTGCTTTTGGTATATTGAATCAAATGCTTCGTAGTGTTTTTCTAGACGCGTTTTCAGGGCGGAAAAAATGGCTTCGCAAATATTTCTAATTCAAGCATTCATTTGTAAAAAGCCCTGGAAAGAATAATACAGGTTTGTCCTATATCAGCTTTAGGTTCCCCTCGGCTCTGATTCATGAGGGTTGGCTGAAAAATAGGAGCATTCCCTTTTGCTCATGAAATCAAGAGAAAATAAAGGCTGAAATGAGGCGTTGAGTCTCTGAAGCATGGCTGTTATGTAAAATGAATTATGGTTCAAAGCTGATGTGATCCCCTTTGCTGTGGTAGAAGACTGTTTCGACCACTTCCAAGAACTGGTGTGTGTGAGAGAACATGTTAAGCATTTTATCAGTGTCAAGAGGAAAGTTGCATTAGTTGCTTTTCTAAAACTGCTAAATGAGATGCACAGTGCACACAGATACAAATCCTATTTCTTACCATGCAACAATAAGTAAAAATGTTTTGAATCCAGAAAATCTAGGTATCACCCTGACCTAATGTCTGTGTGTGTGAACATGGGTGGCGAGACTCTGGAGTGACAGGCCCAGCCCAGCCCTTGGCCCCTGGCCCTGCCAACACTGTGTAACCAGCAGCTGATTTATGGCCCCTGGAGCCCCGCTGAGCCTCTTCCTCTTTGGCCCCTGATGTTTTCCAAAACAGCCCAGAGAATGGCAACTCTCCTCTCCTTCCATCTCCTCCATTACCTTTTTTAAAGTTAAATTTTATGGCATTTCTCAGAATTGGGGGTTTAAGCCTTTAACCAGGAACAGTCGGCCACATTAGCATCATATTAGCCACTAGCCCAACCAGAGCACAGAGACAGTACCCCCCCAGGGTACTTTGCAACCATCCAGCTGTACAAATATTAATCAAATTACCTTGTCATCATAGATATTATGATTTGATCAAAACAATACAAATCGGTTGGAGGTTAAGAGGAAAAAAAGGAGGAACTGCAGCAGCAAACTTTGAAAATCAAAAACGTCAAAGGCAGCCCCCAGAGCAAGAAAAGATAACTGACAAACTTGTTGACTTCATTGTTGTGTATTCCTGGATTTATTTAATTATTTGTATTCTTTTTTTTCAGTTATGCCTGTCAAATTAAATGTTTATTCTCTGTATGCATTTGTTTTTCAAATGGTTTAACCTGAGCCAGGCCATCACTTCCATGCAGGGTTAGTAGCATGCAGCTTTTAAATGCAAAGGTATCAGATCGGTATTCAGCTGATACCCAAAGTCCAGGTATCGGAAACAGTATCAGGGAGGGAAAATGGTATCAGAACATCTTTAGAGATAACTAATTGAAATCCATGAACAAATGGTTATTTATAAATGGTTAAAATTTCCAACTTCAGCCACTTCAATGGACCTAATCACTGACATTTCTGTTATTTTAAATGATTATTGTAACACTATCCACTATTATTGTGCATCCATAGAAATTCTCACTCAACTTATATTTACGTTTATTTTAGTTAAGCAACACCCAATTTAATGTGAATTCAAATAAAAATGTTTGGAACATGATTGGTGGTGCAGATGAAGAGCTACTTCAGTTCGTCTGACAGGGGTTTAGGGGTTCATCAGACAAAAAGGGGACAACTACACACTACGTCCCTCTATAAGCTCGTCCTCTGACCTGCAGGTTGTTCTGTCCGTCCAGCATCCAGGGAGTGAGCTTCTTCTCAGAGGAGCCTGATATGCCTCTCAGACGCTTGGTGTCAAAGGTCAGGCACATGACGGGTTCAGGGTGGGCTTTGGCTTGACTCAGCTTGGACCTCTGGGTTACGTCCCACAGCAACAGGGAGCCGTCCTCGTATCCAGCCAACAGGAGAGGTCCGGGACCCGAGTCTGGCTGCAGGAAAAAAAGAGAATGATAAGAGAGAGTAGGAGGGAATACAAAATGGGAAGGATGAGCGCAAAGAGCAGAGTGAGGTAAGACGTGAGATGAGAGCTGTGTAGTCAAAACCACAGAAACCGCCGTGTGTTGCTGGAAGCTGAGCGGAGCAGAGGTTATCGTCCTGGAAGCTCCCGCTGACACTCAGAGAGACTCTGTGGGCTCCATTCGTCAGCCTGCTGCTCTGTCTTTCCAGCACTCCATTACACCACTCCTCACTTTGCTCCTCATCTGTATTACTGAGCCACAGAGCTCGCTGCCTGCCACGATAAATATAGTGAATTGAAATACTGCAAAACACTGATTCTCCTCAAATGGAGTTTTGATTCTGATTTTTTTCCATTCTAGACTACATTTATTAGTTTTTTTAATTTCTGAAAAGGCAATTTATCCTATTCTTATTACATAAGATTATTTAATTCTTAATAGAGTCATCATCCATAATAATCAGATGATTAGTCTTAGATTAAGAACAAAGTAAAGCAGAGGACCCTCACATGGGAGAAGGCTTCAACCAGATTTTCTGTCCATTGATAAATAAAATTGTTTCAGTTCTAAACACTTTTTAAATGCTCACACACTCACACAAACTAACATACAAACACAGACTAAATTCTTGATTCATCTCCATTTAACCCCAGAACACTTCAGTTCAAATGTTTTACTACAGAGAGAGTGAGTCCATCAGAATAAATAACCTGAAATTAAAGCAGGTGCACAGCTGGGCATTAGACACAAAAACTATAATTACCTGTACAAAAAACCTGTATAAATCTATGCAGCTGTAGATATATGAATATAAAACGAACAAGTTGCACCTTATCACTGTTCAAAGATAACCTCAGTGCCTGTCAGCTTCCTCTACATGAGAGTGTGCATCACATTGTGTGGAGATCACTTCAAGTGATAAAAACTGGAGGCTTCATATATCTTTACACAGCTGGAGGTAAGAAAGGGAGGAGTGAAGGAGGTAAGGAAGAGGGAGAGATGGACAACTCGTTGATGTACCCACCATCCATTCCTCTGCATACCTGCCTTTTGCCATAGAGGACCTATGAATTCAGAGCAAAGCAACACGGTGCCCTTTGTGCCGATCCGTGCCTTTGCTTTAAAAGCACGGTGCCCTGCAGAAGCAAGGAGGGAAAGAAATTTTTTCCATATGTGCGCGGGGGCCACGTCTGCCCGATTTTCATCCATCTTTAAGTCCTCTTCTCACTTAACGCTCCATACTTCTCTTCTTTCAGCTTTAAATAAATTATAGACAGAGTTGTGTATTCCTTCCAAACACATCAGTGAGGACGAACACTAAGGGTTTATGAAAACAAATAAAAACAACTGAAAATCAGTGGCCCCTGCTTGCCGGCAGGGTCCGAGCCAAGCGTTCCAGGCTTGGGGCCCACCGTTTCACTTAAGTGAAGGACCTCCTTGATTGATGATGTCATGGGTCGGAGGTCAGGGAACCCTGGGTAGACACCTAATTCATTATATCCTCCACAGGCCTTTCTACAAGAGGGCTCTCTGCTGGATCGGGGCGGAGATTCATCACCACACAACAGCTGGAAAGACAGATGGAGCTGGTTGTTGAGGCAGGAGCAGCCGAGAGAGCAGTGAAGCTAGGTCTTCTCTAGCATGGCTGTTAGCAGTCATGTGACCGCTGCCTTTTTTTCACAGCAGTGTTAATGCTGAACACACTGAAGTGTAACGAGGACTATGTGCACAGAATGTGTGTTCAAATGTCTTGTGAAGAATTACAGGCAAAGTACTTTTTTTTTATCCTGTAATCATGAGTATCATTAACTGGAATGACACTCAGTAGAGCACATACAGGCCAAGGCCCAACAGTCCCCTTAAATTCATTCAAGCTGCACCAGACTGCACACAGTTTTCTTCCCATCAAAATCCATGAATTCTTCTCTGAGAAATCCTTGAAATTGTCAAAACTATTTCACAATGTTAAAGAAAATAAAACCTGTTCATCCAGATCCAAACCAAAATGTATTTTGTTCTTTCCTGAACCAAACCACATCCCTACTCCAAGTTCCATGATAATCCATCCAGTAATCCTGCTAACTAACAAACAAACATGAAAACATAACCTCTTTGGCAGAGGTAATAGTTCAATCATTTCAAGCCTCTGGTGATTTTTGTGTCTAGCTGGTCACTCAGGGAGCTACTTCAGACCAAACAGTCCAATTAGAGGATCAACATGATCTATAGGAGTCAAGACTCTTCTATAGTGTTTATATGGTAATTTATTACATTTCTTCCTTTTAACAACCACATTCAATTGGGCTGTTGGCATCTCCCTGCTTTAGCTGTGGCAACACAAATGCAAAGATATACCCTCCCTAACAAATAGACAGCAATAATAACTGCTGAACCAATAGATCCAAATAACATTTTATTCTTCTGAGTCTCGAGCTTGTTAAGACATAGAGTGCAGCTACTGTCCCTATAATTGTTACAACTAACAGCTATTGTCAATTATTCCATTTATTGTTTGGTCTATAAAATGCCCAAAATGCTCTGAATGGAGTTTTCTTCAAATTACTTGTATTGTCTGTCCAATCGTGTAAATAATAAATAAATATATATAAATATATATATTTATATATATAATTTTATAATTTTCTAACTTTGAGACTGACTTGATACATATATAAGGGGTATTTCCCAACTTGACCGACCCCAGTCTTATTACAGTTTTTCTGATGACATGCATCTTGACTCTGGGTTAAGGGATTATTGTTAAATTAAATGTGTCACTATGTTTGTGCCATGAGCAGCTGAGGGAAAGCAAAGGATATTCAAGTAAGATTTTTTTATTCTACATTTTTTACAATAATAACGAGCGCCATTTTTGTTATAGCAGTCCTGTATTTATTTAGAGCAGTTAAATAAAAAATTGAATGCTCAAAAATGCCACAAAACTAGACACTTAAATACCAGGCATCACAAATGACTATGAGTTGTTCTGTGACATTATAGTGCTATTTTATGTATATTATATTGTAGATGTTTATCTAAAATATGTAATTTATTCTATTTTTCTAGGATGCATTTTAAGATCTGCCTGAGAACAACAGCTGAATACTTCAGTGTGATTCTAACTGATTTAGAGTTTTTTTAATTTAAATCTGATCGATCACAAAGAAGAGTAAATACATAAATACATACAATCAAAATATAATTAGAGAGAAATATGTGTGTGACATCCTTCATCAAAAACGAATCTGCCGATGCGGCCGCCAAAAGCCCCAGGCAGGCACTGCCTCAACATAAGGAACCAATCGTTTCTTTCGTTTTTTGTCCTGGTCCGCCATGATGTCATGGCCACGAGGCAGCAAGGTGATGAGCTGAGAGTGATGGATATCTGTATAGGAACATTTCCTTTTCCCTGCCAGCCTCTGTTCACATTAAAAGCCTTGCACATCATACATCAATACTGTCCCCCTACATCCACGCACCAGTCAAACCCACATGTGGAGCTACTTTCTGCCTCCACGTCTGCTATATTGTACCCTGCTTCAATCCAGAGAAATCAGACAGCGAGCTCCGTCACCTTTTAGACAGAGCAAAAGCTGAGCATTAGTACTAAAGGCTGTGAGGGATTTTCCTGAAGGGAAGTGGCATTGAGAAGAAAGTGAAGTTAAACACTGCGTTTAATCTGCTCCATAAAATCCATCAGAGAGGGCTTACAGGCCGACAATAAATCTGTTGGTGAGTCCGTCTTGGAAAATAATCTCCTCTCGTCTCAAAGGTGGGAAGAAAAGAGGGAGGGATGGTGAGAGGAAAGACAGCGAAAGGAGTTAACTGTCAGAAGCTTCTTCCTGGAGTGTGTGTGACAGAGAGTCAGACTGGGTGGAGAGAGGGGATGACAGTGTCGGCTGTTGCCTCCTGCTGTGTGTGGTGAGAGAAAAAGCAGGTTGCATGTGGGCATTTCATGTCTTTTTTTTTTACATCTGACTGACAAAGTGTTCCCGAACTGCACTAACAGTATATATAGCTACTTTCAGACATGCATTGAATTCTGGATAAAGTTCTGAAGTTATTGGAAGGGGCTGTATGTGAGAACATAACATCCGAGTCAGAGGCTCCAGAGTTTTTACAAGGGAGCTGGCAGGAAAAACTCTACATACTGGAAAATACAAAAAAAGTACAAATACCTCAGTATGAAAAAGAAGACGCAGACGTCCACTGGGAAAGACTACGACATTCGAGAGTTTAAGTTGATGAGGGTCGATGTCGGTGTCAATGTGCTGTAAACAGAAACACGTGATCTCTGCAGCAGAATTAATAAGTTTAGACAAGCGTCACGCACCATCCCACACATGAACGCTCTGGTGATTTCTGCATTGTAAAAGCGTCTGACCAAAAAATCTCTTACTGTGTTATTCACACATGAGAAGCAAACTCCAGAGAAAGTCCACCTTTTGTGTATATATGTGTATGTGTATGTTTCGGGGGTTTCAGTCTAACCCCTGCTTGGATGTCTCTCAAGCAGCTCAGTGAGTGTAACAGATGAACAAGCCTCAGCCTTGAAAGGAATCAGCCTGAAATGATTTAGAATCACCTGGGCCCTTCGGCTTTGAAGTCAGACAGCTGCCTGTGCTGTATTACATTGATATTATATAATTTATAATGATATAATTGATCATTATGTTTCCTGGCACTCAACACTGAAGCAGCATTGGTTCATAAATCAGATGATGAAAGGTGGTTGTAACGGTGAAATCAAAGGCAGAGGAAGAAAAACACAAACAGCGTGTCAGCAGGCACAGGGAGACTCTCGAGCTTGTCTACATGTCTCAATAATAATATCACAAACACCATGTCATCTTTATGGCTCCTAAATTTGACTTATTAAAGAAACTCTAATTAGTAGAACAGGGATACAGGACTGAATGTGTCCAGGCCAGCAACTTGCCTCACTCTGGCTTTCAAATGATAAGTTGTGTTTTGATTTCTGTTGCCTGTAAACTGCACAGCCCATAACATTTTGCTGAACCATCCACAGTCTTGCATACGTCTAAAAACCCTCATCTGCCTCTTTCCACCTAAACCCCAAACCCAAAGAGTTAATAATTAACCAGGAAAATAATTACAGGCTCTCGTTAATGGCTGGAAAATAAAACGACAGCATTTACAAACAGAACGCACATTTTTTTTTTTTACTGGGATCAGATTGGATGTACAGCTGCAGGCTGATATATGGCTGTGAACCCCCAGCCCTTCCAAATGCTCTAATTACAGTGTTGGGACTTGCTGGCAGCTAAGAAGAAACCCTTGGAAAGATGGATCGGGACAAGTTGTTGGGCTGTAAATCATGTGCCACGTCTCAAATGTGCATTGTGTTTGACTTTTCCGTTATTACATGTTGTTATGAGCTGTCAGTCAATCAGAATAAGGCAGGTAGGTTTAGAAAAAATACAATAAAACAAACAGTAAAGAAAAGATAGATAATCTGCAGCTTTTGAAAATGAGTGCCAGAGTTAAATCATTGAACTTGACGTGCAGTTACAGACAGATGCAAGACTGCTGTTAACGGCTAAAAATTACAGTTTCTATTGAAATGACAGGTGAGGGAGTCTGGTGCTTACCTGCCACAGTTTGATACACATGACCATTCCCAGCTTAGTGTCTGGGACCAGGGTGCAGACTGGAGTCTTACTGGGCAGCTCAATAATCTTTATCTGCAAAGAACACATGACAATGAAAACTCAAGGACAACAGAACCTGATCATTCTCTACAGCTACACTAGCTGATCTGTGTAATAAGGCACAGCAGTGCTTTGAGCCAGCTGTGCTAACATGCTCACAATGACGATGCTAATAATAAACAGTTACAATGATCAATAATTTGGTGTGTTAGCATCTTGCTGAAAATTCAAGAGGAAGGTTGGGCCAAGGCTGATGTATGTGCTCTCCTGAGAGTCATTCTAACCTGAGCAGTTTTTATTTCTTTTTATATTTAACGAGATGAAAACTTTGACCATGTGTCACAAAATTAACAATGGCTTCATGAGCCACAGATTTCTCTATTAAACTGCATGGAAGTCCATCGAGGTTGATAAGATATTGTAGCACACAGTAGCCATCAGCCCCACTGTCAGCATGATAAACTGCTTTGGACAGAGTTTCAGATTCTGTAACTTATCATGGTTCCGTGTTGAAGCCGTGTTTGAGTGATCCTTTGCCGCCCCCCCCTCACAGCTTCAGAGTGGTCTACCTGGACATAAACTGCCACGCTGTAATAAAGAATGTTTCTCCACTTTAACCCGTTATATAGCAGAGTATTTCTGTTCCAATGTATCTTTTTTCACTACTGAGACCCAGTTACAATCACACACATATTGCAGTTGTTCGTATAAACACTCCGTCTTCAGACTTATTATTTGCCTGTCCTCTGAATATTCAGGACCTCTGCAGATTGCAGCGCCTCCAACCCACAGTACAGAACAATCCATTAGTGCGGTGCACCCGCCCCACTGTCTATAATAAATCCTGCTAAAGTCTGAGCAATTGACATGAATGGTGTTTTCCTGTACACACTGGCACTGATTCTGATAAAATACACAGCCTAATGAAGCCAGAGAAGAGTGTGTGAGTGTGTGGGTGTGTGTGTGTGTGTGTGTGTGTGTGTGTGTGTGTGTGTGTACCCACATCACTACCAAAACTCATTCCTTTGACTTCCTCTGCGCTGATGATCCACATATTCATCCTCATTAGACTTCAGATTAAACAGCCCTTTAAGGGAGTGATCTGTATTTTAGCACGAGGCCACATCTGTCCTGCCTGTTTACCTCTGCGTGCCTGACAAAGAGGGCCTTTAAGGACTTCTCTGTGCCTCAGGTAATCGCTGTTCTTGTGTGGCATCACACTGCCCATAAATAAAACACCCACACTATTAATTAATGTTCCTGCCATGCCAGCAATCTGCTGACAGGAATCTGACTATGAGCAGTAAACAGCAAAACCACCTGAAATAGCTGAGGAGGAAACTGTTTGTTTTCATGGTTACATGTCTAAATTTTGACCTACCTGCTCACATCTCGTAACATTGTGGGGGTTTTGTGGCAAGTGCATATCTATTGTCTCTTGGGGGAATTCAATTATGTGGGCGTTTGATTTGTAGACACATGATAAGCATCTGTCTTGGCCAGTTATGCCTGTGGAATGGGGTGGGGAGACAAAATGACAAAATCGGCTGTGGCCTGTTTTGGTCTACCTTTTATGGGTGTGTGTGTGTTTCTGTCTGCCTGTGTCTGTTGGGACAATGGCATTATTGAGGTGCTGGGAGTCACAGGCGCCCTGATGCCTGGCTTGCTGGTCTGGGGTTAGCAGAGGCACGTTTGGCTGGATCAGGTGACAGCTCTGTCCCTTTCAAGTGTGGCTCCTCCGCGGTGAAACAAGTAACATGAATCTGGAGGCAATAAAAGATGGCTGAATCGCTGGCTGCCCTCTCCCCATTCTGCTGCACTGTTCACACACTGATTCCACACAAAGCTATATAGACTTCGTGGGTGTTGAACATTAAGTACGAGACGGACCGAACGTGATGTCATTCCAGTGCATAATCTGATCAAGCCTGGGAATTCTCTCTCTAAATCAACAGTTAAAGTAACAAGCCACTCAAAGTATTTCATCGGTTAAGAGTTTTTAAAGTAGGAACATCTTTTTAATTACCTTCTCAAATGCACTATTCCACCTGCTCTCTCAAGCCGTCACAGCACTGATTTTGACAAAAGCATTCAGTGAATGGTATGTTACAAGCCACAGTCAAAATGAAGCATCATTAAGCTGGTAGCTGGTATTAATATCCAATCCTTTACTTTGTCAATGAGGCTGCTTAGATTGCTGTTTGACAGCTTCTGGCTGCAAGCTGAATACCGCATGTAACATTGGCTCATATCACATTCACTGATGATGGGCTAAAGATATCATCTTCAACACATTCAGTGTTTTGTGTCATAACACAATCAGATTTCATGCAAATGATCACAGCATTGAGACAATAGGAATAGATGAAATGGCAATAAATTACTTTCTGGGGGACTGACTAAATAACTAAACTAAAATTGCATGTACCTCCACCAAGGACAAACCATCCTCAACATGATAGCCTATAGTTCTTATTGTAGAAATATAAAAAATCCTGGATATGACACTTGATTTAAATCTGCACCAAAATGTAACGGGTTCTTCTAGGGCCTGGGCACCACCCCTTTAAAGAGTTTAGTGGAAATCACTTCAGTAATTTTTGTGTAATCCTCCTGACAAAGACAGACGCAGAAAACGGATTGATCATTATACGACACTCACACATTCATACTCTATAGACAGATCTTAGGGCCTCAATGTCTAACCTCTTCTGTCTGTTCTCCAGCAAACGCCAGCAGGTAGTTTCCAGGGCTCGAGTCCAGCAGGGAGCACTGACAGAATCCAACGCTGCTGGTCCACACGGAGTCTACAGGCTCACTACGACCTTCTCTCAGGTCCCACAAACACACCTGCATGTCCCGTCCCTGACTGCCAACATAAAAAAAGGAACAGGAACTTTATATAGCATTATGTACATGTACTTGCTGAGAATCTACATTGAGTGAGGAACGTTATCAGAAGCTACAACCAAGACATCGTATATCCTGACCTGATGAGGGCATCTTTCGACTGCAGAGAGTTGACCCAAATGACCGAGCTACCAGAATGACCTTCTACAATCTTCTCAGCCCTCCTGCTGTTCAGGTTCCAGATATGGATGGCACCACTCCCTGACCTGCAGAACCCAACAGGATGCTTTGTGTAGACTCACTCACACACTATATGCATCATTATATTACTCACACAGTATATACAGCATATTATTATATTATTCACAGTGTATTCACACAGAAAATACAGCATATTATTATATTATTCACACAGTATATACACAACATATGTGCTTTCACCCATACACCTATAAAGAGGTCAGATTCCCTACAAACCATAGACTGTAAGATGGACGACATTACAGTTCCACAAAAGTAAAGTCAAAAACACCTTGATCGCTACCAGGTGGCTAGCTGCAGGTAATAAACCCTGCCTCCTTGAGACTGACTCGCGATTGGAGGAGCTAGTGTTTTACTGGAACCTCAATACCTTGGCTCCATCCGCTGATCACTACTGCGCAGAATTTGGCTCCAAATGACCTAATTGCTGTATAATGGCAGCGTTTGGAGTCTTGATACATGTCATCCATCTTTAAATACAGTGCATGGTCCAAACTAACCAATAACATCAAGATCTTTGATGTGCGGATCTTTAAAACAAGTCATCGTGCTTCATTCACACCCTGCACTTGAAGTGAATCTACTTATCCCACTCAATTAAACATGTATGTTTCTTATGATGGACTTCATGAAGCACTCAATTAGTAACATTTCCAAAAAGAGGAGCAGATTGAAATAAATCGATGAAGAGTCAAATAAACAGATATTGAGAAAAATTACTCACCCAGAAAATAAAAGGGGAGTGTCCCCTCCAAGGCAGCTAAAGTGCAGGGTGTTGAGTGGCCCACCAGACCCCCTCAGGGTGTAGATGGGGGACGGAGCGGGACGAGACATCCCTGGTTCATGTGATCAGTGTGTGGATAATAGGAGACCCCAACATTACAGCTACTGGAAACAGACAACAAGAAAACGAGTGAAGGCATGAGTTATTTCGACGACTTCAAGAGTTTGAAATGCGATTGTCAACTCAGACTCATCACAACAAAAAACTGCCTGCATTACAATTGGATTAATTTGGCATTTTCAGAGAATAGAACAGAGTAGAAAAGGTATAAATCTGATAAATAATGTCTGCAGAAAAAGTCTTGTTTTGTTTCCGCACAAACATTCAGCACAGTTGGAGGGAGGCTCCATTTAGCCTTGAACCATTTCTGTTCCACATAGCAGACAGTTGTGTTTAATGCACTGTTCTCTATTGTTAATAGCTAAAAACCCTGTGGCTCTCTCCCTCTCTGTCTCTCCGTCCTCCTCTTTCCAGTCTACATGATAACACCTCTCTTACTCAATACGTCATAAATCACAAACTCTGACAGCTTAATTACAGTAAACAGACGGAGATTCAAACTTCTCACTCCTCTTGTGATCAACAACCGTTGTCCCAAAGGCAGAGGTAAGAGCTCAGGCCTTTTATGTCGTTTTTAGGTCGGGGAGCTAAGGAAACCCAACCGACCGCAGCTATGCTGCAAGGAAATAATGCGTCAACATTAAATTGCAGTTTAATTAAATGTGTTTGGCTCAAGATAACTAATATCCATCTATTCATCCACTTTCTAAACTTCTTATCCTGCTCAACACCACAAGAAGTTTGATAAATATTAATTATGTTGAAATAAGAACATTAATATGGAAAAAGAGTAAAGGAGAATTCAGGATAACGCAGCCCACCTACTCAGTTTTGTCAGAAACAAGAATACTTTGAAAATAGCAACCCATTCAAACAAACGTGAATAATCAAGATAAATATTTAAAGAAAAAGGCTTGTTGATTTTACTGACTGTCTGACGCCCCTGAGGCTCGTGAGTAAATTCCTCTCTTGGCACACTGAAAACATTTCTCTACCCAGTTATCTGCAATGACATGTTCACCATCCCAACACAAGACGCAGGACGTCAGCCCAACCACAACTCTAAAGAACCTAAGTGGAACACAACACTGAGGTTATGAGGCCAGCTTCGCCTGACCTCTCTGACCATTTGTAGTCATCGGAGCAAAGTTTATAGACATGGCAATGTCCGTTGATCCACCACTTTGGTCCCAACTGAAATACCTTACATCTTGTACTAAAGTGATCCCCTGAGCAAAGGAACATGCAGAGGCTAGAAGAAGATGTAACTATCAAAAACCTGCTTTTAAATGTTTTTTGCCTTCCATGTGATTTACTGGCCTTGAAGATCAACAGTGAATTTTAGGTAGAAACTCTTTAAAGACTATAAACAAGAAAATTCCATCATAAAGACTCTGGCATGGTATAGATTTATTTTCAGCAGATACTAGGCACATCTTCACCCTTGACCCCCACCCCACTCATCCAACTCTACTTTTACTTATTATAACCTCTGCTCCTTGCAATCAGCAGAAACTGAAACTGGAGCCTGAGGCATTCAGGAGCAGCTCATTTCAGGAGGTTAGTGGTTAAATTGTCCATGTGAACCTGTGAAGCGGAGAGAGTTGGACCTCTGACCAGCCTGCCTAATTAAGGACACCTCATCGGAGCCAACCCATCAGCTTCACTGTGGGGAGACACATTGGTTGCTTGCAGGAGAAAAAATAAGCTTTTTCATGCTCACTACAAAAATATTTTACAAATAATTTTCCAAATACATAAAATGACAAAAAAGGCGTATCATTTCAATGGTTCAAGCAAACGGTTCTTTGCACAAGATGCTGACCAACACACATCACACAGATCTCTGATCCAAACCAACAGGAAATCCTTCGGCCAACAACTGAACTAACTTGTTTATGTGTGGCTTGAAGAAAATGGCAAAAACCATCAACAGTGTTTTAGTGAGGGTCCATCAGTTAAGCTTCTCCTCCTGTGACTGGGTGGGTATGGCTGCATTCCTGAGCCACAGTCCTGCGCCTGTGTGAGTGTGTGACAGGAGGAAGCTCACCCTGATAACAGGTGGATTAAGCGTTCCTTATTATCCTCAAGCAGCGGGCCCCGCATGACGTTGTGAGTCACGGACACGGCAGCCCCGAGACTGGTTGTTTTCACTGCCTCAAGAACAGGAGCTGTAAAACTTTCCACTGCTAATCACAGCATGCTGTCAATCAAAGACAATACTCGGGGACAGGGACAGAGATGTCACAGGAATTCCAAACCAAACCTGCATCTGGAAGATGAGAATAAGGGCCACTCTCCCTCGGCCACGGCTTCCTCAGCAAACCATTCCTTCTGTTTTCTCTGCGTCAGAATTTCCAGGCGCTGAATTGCCCCCGACAATGGCTCTGTTGTGGTGGCTACAAGTGAGTCACCCACAAACCCAAATACAAACACGCAGGCAGCTCAGGAAGGGAGAGACAGATACTGTAAACAAACAACACGGTGGCAGGATGTCACTCAAACCTGTTTGCAAGGGCCCTCAAATTGTTCTCTGTTAACAGAGAGGCGGCCGAACAAACAATCAAGCCTGTCACTTGTCAAGCTTGTATGTTTGACATAATAACACATCTCTAGCCAAGACCTTGCTGGAGAAGCAACAGAAGAAAAGCTGGGTACATCGAGGCTGAGGATCCTCAGGTCAGAAATCCCTCTTTATCGATCTCTGCAACCAGCAGTTGAATGAACCTGATAAGTATTCATAAGGCATTTTCAGACATGAACTCTTGAGGATGTCTGCACAACCGGGTCAGGTCTTTCTCCGGAGTTTGCCTTTCACACATGAACAATCCAGCAGGAGATTCTCTGCTCAGACGTGTTCATTACAACACAGAAATCTCCAGAGCGTTCAGAGGAGTGGTGGTGAAGTAAGCAGAGGCGGTATATGTAAATTCCGCTGCAGAGATCACATGGTTTTGTTTGCAATACATCCACACTGGTCCTTATCACCAAAATATCTTGACGTTTGGGAAGGTCTTCTACATGTGTGCCATCATTTTTTCATCCTGAGATATTTGTATTCTTTTTGTTTTTTCATTTTTGCATCTGTTGCATTTTAGAACACACCCCCACCCTCAACACTTCCACTCCCTCACGGTGAATCTTGCAAAGGGTCTCCTGCTTCTCACATGGGCTCATTCATTCTTCTGAGTTTCTACCAGGGGGCTGGCCGAAGGCTCTCACTTGGACATTTGCAATGTCACATATAGCAGAGAATGTCCTGAAGTCTTCCAGAGTTCTGGGCAAGTCTGAAAGCAGCTAGAACGTGACAGAGCATTAAATAGCAAATACCCTATAGGACAGCCAACTTTCTCATTAATCATATTCACAGGAAAAATATCAGATATGACACCATGATGGTAACAAGCTAGGCCTAATAAAACCTGTGTGTCGTGGTCAGGGTATATAAATGACTCTGACTGATTAATATACCTGAGCTGGACATGGGAGCCAGTGGGAAGAGGCAGGAGAGGAGGATGGAGGCTCCTGCTGGCCCTGCAACAGATAAGACAGCTCTGGGTAATCTGACTCTAAGTCTGTGGATAAAGGCAGTTTGTCTCTTCTCGGGCCGTCTGTCCACACCTACTGGGTAATTAGGCCTAATTATGAGAGAAAGGTCCGCTTCCCCTTCATGTTATTAAATAAGAGCCAGCCTCGTCCGCCAAGGATCTCTCAACACCAGCAAGGGGCTGGCGACCTTCAGATCAAACGCAGCCACTATCTGTGCCCCCCCCCAAGCCTCTTCCACTGCAGCTCCCTTTCCCCTCCTCGGCATCGCTGCACATATGAGGCCTTGAGGAGGGAGGGGGCAGACAGGGTATTCGTTATGATATTGGGCATCAAAGTTTTGGTTTTTTTCCGAGCTGTGAGTGAGTGAGAGGGAGTCCTGCCCACATTCCTCTCTTAGCTCTTTGGTATCATGTGATCGGCAGCTACCCACCTGAGCTGTCCCCTTGTCAAATTCTGCCATTCATAAATAAGGGCAGGGGGGGAGGGATATACAGATCACAGGGGTTTATTATAGAAGCTTTATAAAGCCCCAGCTTCACAGTAGCCATTATGGAGGCATGGGATCCCAAGATCCCCTGCTGATACCAGCCTCGTCAAATATGAGATCTGAGCTGCATGATGAAAACTGAAAGTAGATTACACATAGCTCAAAAGCTGCATTCTAGATAGCTCCCACACTGAAAAGCCAACATTATTAACTATGAAGCCAATAGTAGTTTTTTCTCTAATATCTTTAACAGCAGACTTTATCTATGAGTGTGTCAGAGAAAGATGCTAAATCTGTCCATTTCTGCTATATAATACTTCAGCTATTAGTCATTCTGCTGTTTATCACAGGCTGTGGTCTTATCTGCTGCTTCCCTGCTTTTCAGTCTTGCCAAGGAGGCAACTTCCAGCGTGCTGGCTGGTCGGAGGGTGGGTGGTGAGCTGGCTCTGCAACCATTAGTCAGCCCTTCTGCCCAGACCTCCAATCCCTCCTGAGGAGGAAGCCAACTTGCCAAATAGAGAGCGAGGTCCATTATAAAAGTCCAGTTAGACAAACAACATGGGAAGTGGCGAGGAAGACACACACCCTTTATTGTGTCTTGGAGGGGGTATCTGGACTGCATAAACAGTTCAGTGTCAGATAGAGGCTGAAGTCAGACACAAGTGCACCAACACCCACTGTCAGTCACAGATCCAGTGAGCGGGAAGAGGTGGCATTGTTCGCGTGAATGGCGTGAATGCTAAGCAGGGGCCACTGCAGATAAGAGCTCAATGCCTTGTGGGTGTCATTGAGGCAGGCACTGATGGAGCACTGTGTCAGAGGGTCCTGATTTAGGAGGTCCTGACTGTGGTCAACAGGTACCAGGAGCCTTATCTGTTTACATTATCAGCCATTTCCTCCGTGAGGTCATTTGCCTGGACACTAGAGGATAAAGGAACACAAGAGGGTCGACAGCTCGAGTGTCATCATGCATCTCCACACATTTTGGGTGTGATGGCTTTTTGGACCTCATGGGGATTTTGTTGTCCATACAGCAAAGACACGAAAACAAGTTGCAGTGATCCTAAAAGGACATCATGCAACAGAGGACATAGAACAAGGACGACGATAAGAGGTTACACTGTCAAAACAACACAGGCCCCAGTGTTAAAGCTGTCAGCCTTCTGCAGGGGCGTGATGAGTGACAGCATGAATACTGATCAATAAACAAAGGTTGACAGAGTGATAACTATTTCTACATGGTGAACAGCTTCCAGAGATGTCAACTCTCATAACAAATTTAAAAATGCTCCTATGAGCATTGAAGCACTATGACCACTGAACAAAACCAAAACTAGCACAAATCCAAGTGCATTTGTGCAGTATTGGTAAGGGTGCAGTGAGCTGGATACAGGAAGTCAATGTAGAATTTCAGTGTGTGCAGAAAGTTGAGATATGTTTAAGCTTAATGTTGCTTCATTTAGATGTACAGTGTGTAGAACTTAGTGATATCTAGTGTTGAAATTGCATGTTGCAGCTGAACACCCCTCACCTCACCCTCTCCTTCCAAACATGAAAAAGAACCTGTGGTAGCTTCAGTTGTCATAAAACTCAAAAGGTGTTTAGTTTGTCCAGTCTGGACTAATGTAAAAAACATGTTGGCCTCTGTAGAGAGGGTCCCCTCGATGTAAATATAAAGTATTTCAATATAAAGGGCCTTTTCTAGGGTAAAGAAAACTACAGTTCATACAATTTAGATGAAATGAACTAATGAAAACATCATGAGGATTATTCTACATTCAATTTCTGCCAATAGATCCCTTTCACCTAAATCTTACACACTGGACCTTTAAAGAAGGGAAATTGTATATGCTGTCAGTTCTTCCACACACCATTTTATGAGCTTATCCTTAAACATTCACACAAGACTTCAGTCTACAGACTTTGTATGTCAAGGTTTGGGCACCCTGAACTTCATTCACTCATTAGGCCTTAATTTCCTTCATTAGGAATTGACATATGATGTTAATGATGAATTATCTTAGTCCTCAAACCTTGTGGTAAACTTTTCTATTTAACGTAAAGTACTTTGAATTGCCTTGTTGTTGAAATGTGCTACAGAAATAAACGTGCCTTGCCTAATACAATGGCATAATCTAAACTAAAGATTGAGGATCTGAAAATGAAGCAAAATGACACATATATAGCAGTTTCCTGAATGACTGTAATGTCTTGGAGCAAAATTCTAAAAGGATGGCAGTCAGCACAGGACCCTGATCCCAAGCAGACATCAATAACCAACATAAACTACTCCAAGACACACTGATGCCTGTATACTGGTTATTGTGCATGCCAAAATTACTGTTTTATGTTTAATTGTATTAATACATGAAATCAAATGTTACCGTGAATTAACATTTACAAGCTTCATTATGTCTGTTGGCTGCAGGGCTAGTGTGCACTTGAAAAATCATCAATATATTTCCACAAGGATGTCCATACCTTTGCAACCACTGGACAGAAAACATCAGATTTTATCATGAACTTTGGTGTGTGTCTATTTTTCAAGAAAAACTCAATAATAAAAAATACTGAAATGGATTCTTCATTCATTTGATCCATATGAAGTTTTAAACTTTCATTCTGCTGACATTTACCTTCTCATGTTCAGCACTTTCAAGAGTGTGAGCCGACGACTCATCAAACTATTCTAACATCACTTTTCAATTTTGGTTTTAGGTCAGATTTGATAAAGATGCTGCCGTGCTATAAACAAACAGGACCCGGAACCAAAGGGCTCAGCAAGTACACAGGAGAAGCGTGACTGAGAAAGAACAGGGCAGGTGAACGTTAAATAACACTAACTTTGAATGGAGTTTGGTATGATCGGCCTCCATGCGACTGGATCAGGGACAGTTAGAGAAACCAAAGCATTCATTGAAACATTGGGCTGAAAAGAGAGAGAGAGCATGAAGCTCAACCTGTCAGCTTCATCCTGTCATTTACAAGAGCAGGGTTAGCAACAAGCTAGCAAGTACCTACAATCACACCACACAGACCGGCTATCACAACACGGCCAGGGAGTTCCTGCAGAGCGAAACTGTCACCACAGGCACGTTGAAGAAGACTTGAGACAATACCAGTCCAGAGAAACACCCGAGGACAGGGACAGAGTCAGAGTCAGAGACAGCGACAGCGGCTCAGCAGAGGAGGAGAAGAAGCGTGCACCGGACTGCAAGGACCTCTATTTACTACTGATGAGGTGCCCAACAAAGTGCCTGTACAGAAACATCCTCTCTCTCTCTCTCTCTCTCTCTCTCTCTCTCTCTCTCTCTCTCT